ATTAATTAATTAATACTTGGGCAAAAGTTGTCATAGTCAGGTTGTTTTAACATTCATGACTTAAAATGAACTGAAGTTTAAAGATTGTAATATTTCAGTTAGTTTTTAAAAATATATATGTGTGTGTGTATATATCTATATCTATCTATCTATATATAGATAGATAGATAGATATAGTTTTTGCTACGTAAATATTCTGACCAAGCGTGAGGACAAAACTGAGAAAATGTACCCCTACCAACAACATTGCATTTGCTGTCAGACGAGGTTGAAGTGCTGGTTTTGCTGAGCCGTTTATGGTTTCTCTTTTTTATTCTTAGTTACAAAGGAGGAAGAAGAGACATATTTAGAATAAAGCTAATATGAAACAAAAAAGAGGTTTTCTTGCCACTTCAGAGTGGTTCCTAGAGCCCTCTTTAATTGAAATTCTCTAGTCTTCTCCCCTCATTTTACTGATGAGGAAATAAATAGACCCTGAGAACTGAAGTTCCCCGCTAGCTGGTGCAGCGAGTAGAGCACTCTTATTACCTGTGGACCCTAGGCAAGTCACTTGACCTCTGCCTACCTCAGTTCTGAAGAATGGGGATGATAGCACCTACCTCCCGCGGCTGTTGTGAGGATCAAATGAAATGATATTTGTAAAGCACTTTGCAAACCTTAAACATTCTACGAATGCTGTTAGACCACATAGGTGCTAGAGTCTGGATTTTAACCCAAGCCCTTTGACTATACCATGAAAAGGTTCAGAATGTGGAACCCGAGTGAATGACGGTGCCCATTAATAGAATCAGTGAAATCAGAAGGAAAACAACTTTAGAGGGAAAGGTAATCAACATGAAGTTGGAGGGGCCAGCGGGGAGGATAGCCATATGGAACTTCGATTCCATATCTTGGCCAATTAAAACTATTTTGAAAGCAATGTGAAGCTGCACTATTTTCTGAGAGTAGAAAGCTGTGTCTTCCCTCCCTCACTTACTTGCTTTCAGTCTTGAGGAAGATAGCTGTTAGCTTTCTAAATGTTTATTACGGTCCTCAAACAGGTGTTTGGGGTCACGCTAGACATGTCCTGTCCTGTCCTGTCCTGTAGTCATTTACAGAGTTTTGTGTGCTGGCCATACGATCTCCAAAGAAAGGTTGAAAAGTAGACTTCACCTAATATGCTTAATATGTATGTATAAGTAGAACCTATATCAGATTACATGCCGTCTTGGGGAGGGGGGGAGAAGATTTTAAAGCTCAAAATCTTATGGAAGTGAATGTTGAAAAATAAAAATAAATTATTTTTAAAAAAATAAAAGAAATAGACTTCACCCAAATCTATACGGAAAGTGTTCCAGAAGATTTTCAACATTTTCTTTCTAGGACTTATTACGATATTTTTTTATTTCTGCAAAGAACCAATTCTTTTTTCAGTATGGATTTGTGTACCCAGAGATCTACTCCCTATGCTGTTGTTACAGTCTGATAAAAATAGGCACAAGCCCAGGGAGACTATTCTAGTTTTTCTGTAGGCTATAGGCTTTCCTGCATGTCCCAAAGCCATCAATGCCACTCGAAAGCAGTCTGACTTATGGAAGGGCCAGCTCAGAGGTAGGGAGCTTCCCATCTGGCCTTTCCCTCCCAGGGAGCAGTGGACAGACTCAGCTGAGTAAACCCAGGGAAGGAAGGAAGTCCCAGAAGAGTCTATGTTTGTTGACCGAAGTCATTAGAGAGGCAGAAGGAGGGAGAAGGACCAGAAAGGGAGAAAAAATGTTGACCTTTACCTGTCTGGAATCAGCATTTACTTAGCCTGGGGACTCCTCCCCTCTCTTACCTCCCCCAGCCAATTCACTTGGAAGCGGACCTACCTCCTCCATCTTTCCTTCCTTTCATTTGGAGACTCCATCGGGTAACCTGTGGACATTGGGATCCTCTTCTCTCCCTCCCTCCCAAAATACGCAGGCTGTCCTGTTTAAGTTTCTGTAATTACTTCAGCTGATAGCTCAGTTTTAATGCGGTGCTATAAAACCTCACTTCTCCGGAGACTGATGTCCAGCCATCCTAGTATCTGAAGGGCTTTGTAGGAAAGTTATTGGCCCCTACTAGTTTAAAACGAGGTTTGGAATTTCCCTTGAAGTAAAATTGAATTGCTGATAAGCCTAGAGCAGCAAATTAGGGTGAGTAGCTGCTAGAGCAGGGCTTCCTGAACTTGCATTTTCACCAACCTCTAACTGAAAGTTAGCATTTTCCTCAGTTATTAATTCGCTTTAAAAGAAATTCTGAAAAGGGGCCCTTAGACTTCCTCAGACAACGGGAGGCAGGATGGAAGGAACAGGCAAGGCAGCGAAGCAGCACATTGTAAGAACAGAGAGAGCTCCAGCTCTGCCTGGCCGTGGCCTAGCTCCCCATGGCCTGACTGGAGGCAGATGACTTTGGGCAGCAGGAAACCACCATGTGTTCTGCAACAACTCACATGAACTCGTGGTTAGTTTTTAAGCAGTTATTATACTTTGTATTTATAGCTTAATGAAATAGTCTTAAAAAGGATAAAAAGAAAAATATGCTTGTGTGATTGATGATATCAGAAAAAAATAGTTATGTTATTTTAAAATGAAAATAATTTCTAGTCACCAACTTTGTATCAGTTTTTCCTGTCTCTATGTGTTTACACACCCATATGTTTTATGTATAATAATATTTTGGTGCCAGCAGTTTCTGTTTGGGGCTAATAGGTTTGGAGTAGAACCTTAGAGATTTTCTAATTAAACTTCCCTTACTTTAGAGGCATGATTTTCCCAATTACACAGTGGCAGAACTGGGACGACATGATTTTATTCTTTTCAAATTCCCAGTTAGGAGCCAAGCTGACAGTCATTTGTAAGTAGTAAGATTTTTACCATCTAAGATTGTAAAAGGCTCTTACTCTCAGAGATAATTCTATCTTTGAAATTACACAAATCTTCTGACTCTTTCACAACCTCAGGTATGACTGCAGGCACTGGCCGACTCAGTCTGTGGCCAGTCAGACTAGGATGATGGGGAAATGTATCTTTTATAATTTCCCAGAATGGTGCATAAGTCAAGAGCTTGACGAAGAAGCCTAAAGTTCTGGCTTCTCCAAGTATTTTATAAACCTCATTTCCCCAAAACCCAATTTCCTAATCCTTTTCTTTATTCCCATTCTTTCATAATTAGCTTTGGAATCTTTTTATCAGATTGTTTCTTATCAGACCCAGACCTTCCTTAGAACTGTCCTGCTGAATTCTTACAATTGAAGACGACTTCTCAGTGCTCCAAGGCAGCTGCTAAAAAGGTTAATACAGTCATAAGTAGATTTCATAGAAGCAGTAGTGTTCACATCCAAGAAGGCAATAGTACCATCATACCATCAGCCTACATCTGGATTACTGTGTACTAAGACAACTGTGTAGATGAGGGAAATGGATGGATATCTTAGAGAAGACATAACTTGGTTGGAATATGTGTCTTCCAAAATTTGAGTGATTATCTTCAGTAAATGCATTCTATGTTACTCCTGAGCCCAGAACCAGAACCAATGGGAGATAGTAACAAGGAGGAAGACTTTAGATAAAATATAATTAAAAACTTCTTGACAGCTAATATGGACTTTTTAAAATGGTCAGCTCCTCATCTGTAGCACTGTTCAAACATTGTCTGGATCTGTCAAAGTGATTTTTGTCATGGCTTTATATGAATTCTCCTTCTTGATGATACTGATTGCTAGTTCGGGTGCTGGCTATTCACTTTCTGGCACATAAGATATCCAGATGGTCAGACCCTACTTTTCTTCATAGGGTAGAAGATGAGCTCACAGACAGTGGCATGTAAAGCTTTATGGTTGGCTTGAGGTGAGCAAGGCTGAGGGGAACATGAATGTTGGGATTTTAGGGCATAAACACAGCTCTCGCCTTTATTTGATGAGAGGAAAAAAGTAATCCTGTTACAGGGCTGCCAAATGGAGCCCGAACCCAAATAGCACCTATCCCTTCAAGTTGTGTAGGTCACACCCAGAATCACCTGAAGCTTTCTCCATCTGTGAACGGGGGAGGCCTTTCTATGAGGAGCTCTTACCACCCTGCTTGGATAGTGTATCTGGTTTCTCCATAATCTTTGCTTTGCTTACCTCTATTGGATATTCGTTGTAATTTGATAGGGTCTTTAGGTGACTTGAAGTTGAAAATTCAGTGTTCTAAGAGAAAATTTGTAGAAGTTGTCAGTAGTTTACTGGAGAAGTTAAATTAGACCCAATTAAAATCCTTGCTTTTACTGGAAGCCTTACCCAGCCCCCTCCCCCTTAATTCTAATGCCTTCCCTCTATTGTTTCCTGTTTATCCTAATTATAGCTGGCTTTATATACATTTGTTTGCTCGTTGTCTCCCCATTAGACTAGAAGCTGCTTGAGGGCTGGACTGCCTTTTGCCTCTTTTTGCATCCCCTGTGCTTAGCACAGTGCCTAGCACTTGGTAGCTACTGAATGTTTATTGATTGATTACTTGACCGTACACATCTTCTAGTATGATAAAGTTACACGCTAGGAAATGTGCTAAAACGGTTTCATGACATGGAATGTTTGACGAACATTAGGGGAGAAACATGCTGCCTTGTTAGGATGGTGCTTTATTTTCCAATTCAGACTAGTGACAAAGCTTTTTAAATAAAAATAGAAAATATTGATCAGACTGTAGTAATTCCTGGGTCTTACATTTGTCTAGCACACTCTGGTCTGCTCCTTTGATTTTTTTTTTTTTAGTGCCCCAAGGCAGGGAGAGAGAGGCTGACAGCACTCCCATTCGGCAGGTAAGAAAACAGTAACGCTAGTAATAGAGCCCGAGAGCATGAGAACCCAAGTCTCTAGACTCTGTACTTGGAGATCTCTTCTACTTCAACATTTTAGAAAGGCAAATAGGTAGGCATGAGAATGATTTAAACGTTTCCTGAATTTTTTTAGGGAAAAACAAGAGTTCCTTTTCTCTGTACCTTCTCTATGTTCTCTTTTACAGGTGTCAGCTGTGATGCATGTTTAAAAGGAAATTTTCGAGGTCGAAGATACAAGTGTTTAATTTGCTACGATTACGATCTTTGTGCATCTTGTTATGAAAGTGGTGCGACGACAACAAGGCATACAACTGACCATCCAATGCAGTGTATACTAACAAGGGTAGATTTCGGTAAGTAGCACATTGTACAACTTCTGATAAGATGACAATTTGGAAATTTTAGAAGTGGCTATGTGACCTGACCTGCCATTTGACTGTATCCCATGCCTGGAGGGCTCTTCTTCCTCTCTGGAGGCCCCTCCCTGTTCTGCCCTGCCCTGTGTTCTCCCTCGAGGTTCCCTGAAGTTTACCCTATCTAGGTCTTGTATATACAGGGTAGTTTGCTTGTTATCTTCCTCATTGGAATGAGGTTTTTGAGAGCAGAGACCATTTTCACCATTCTGTGTTCTCCATCTCTTAGCGATGCCTCACACGTAGTAGGCACTCAAAGCGTTGCCGATCGATTGAATGACTGACACTGAATAATGAACATTTCATGCTTTATTTAGAGTTTAATTCCCTTCAGTCACGCTTTCGTTTCTCTAGCAATACATGAAAACCAAATGGCATGGATAATTACAAACCTGTACCTCAGACCGTCTCCTAGACATCCCACTGAGTATTTTGACAGAGCCTCAAACTTAACCTGTCCCATATTGAACTCCTCGTCTCTGCATCCCAGTTGCTCCATGTCGTTAGCACCACCATCCTGCTGGTCGTTTAGGCTCCCAACTCCAGTTCTAGTTAGCTCTTCTCCCTCATGCTACCATTCAGTGAGGTGCCAAATCCTGTTGGTCATACCTCACCGCTCACATCTCCCACCTTCTTTCTGTTCCACAGCCACCACTCTAGCTTAGTTTCCTATCTTTTCTGAAATAGGTTATTGTAATAACCTCAATCCATCATTTAGCAGGTACAAGTGCCTGCTCTGAGCCAAACACTGCTCTGGGAGATGGGGATACAAATACAAAAGCAGAACATTCCTTGCCCTCAAGGAACTTACAGTCCACTGTGGGAGATAATCTTTACACCTATCAGATATAAAAAATTATTATATGTGAAATTACCACAAAATAAAGACAAAGTGATGGGTGGGGAAGAGCACAGAAGGCTTCATGGGAAATGGCATTTAAATTGGTTTTAGGAGGCGGCTAGAGATGCTACACCACGGGCAGCAGCCCGTAGCAAGGCAGAGAGACTTGTGGAGGGTGTCCGGCCTGAGGAGCAGCGAGGGGGCCAGTGTGGCTGGAACATCAGGAGGGCAGTACAGAATGAGACTGCAAAGGGAGATGGGAGCCAGGTTGTGAAATGCCAAAGGCATTCCTAGTAGGGAGCCAGTGGGAGGAAGCAGCAGGTCAGAGCCATGCTTTAAGAGGGAGGATTGGAGAGGAGGGAGCTCAGCTAAGAAGTCGCTGTTCAGATGGCACAGTCAAGTGGGGTGAGGCTCCAAACTCAGGTGGGCCTGCTCGAGTGCCCAGATGGCAACAAAGAAGAATGAGATGTTATGGAGGCGGGATTGGTAAGATCTGGCCGTCAGTTCGATGTGTGGGTGAGAAAGAGCATGTGAGAAGTCTAAGATAACTCTGAGTGGTGAATGACATTCATATAGCGTTTTAAGATTTTCAAAGTGCTTTACATGTAAATACCTCATTAGAGTCTCACAATAACCCTGTGAAGTAAGTTCTGTTGTTATCACAGTTTTATCACTTAACAGAGAGGTTGAGGGACTTGGCCAGGTTCACACAGCTTACAGAAATCTGAGGTAAGATTTGAACTCAGGCTGCAGTCCTTACTGGCTGCAGTCCTCTGCTCCATCCATGTACTTCCCAGCTGCCTCGAGGTAGGAGTCTGTGTGACTGGGAGCTCATCGTGTGCTTGACAGAAGTAGGGAAGTGAAGCAAAGGCTGAGTTTGGGGAGGCAAGTTAATTATTTCCGTTTCAGACTTGCTGGGTTTGAGATACCTGTAGTTGAGTCAAATCAACAAGAATTTAGGAAGTGCTTGGTGTGTGCCAGGCACTGTGCTGAGCCGAACAAAGTCCCTGCTAAGCCCAGGACACTCACAATTTAATGAGAAGACAATATGCAAACTGTGCGTGTTTGTGTGTGGTGTGTGTGTGTGTGTGTGTGTGTCTGTACACACACACATAGACAGGTATGTGTAAAACAAATTGGAGATAATCAACAGAGGGAAGGCAGTAGCATTAAGAGGGATTGGGAACAGCGGCTTGTAGAAAGGGGAGTTTTAGGAGGCAGCTGGGTGGTGCAGTGGATAGAGACCGGCACTGAAGTCAGGGGGACCTGAGTTCAAATCCTGCCTCAGACCAAACACTTGACACTTACTAGCTGTGTGACCCTGGGCAAGTCACTTCACCCCAATTGCCTAAAACAAAAAAAAAATTTAGAAAGGGGAGTTTTAGTTGGGACCTGAAGGAAGTCGGAAAAGCCAGGAGACAGAGATGAGGGGGCAGAGATTTCCGTGCATGGGGGACAGCTGGTGCAGATGCCCAGTTGGGAGACGCATGTCTTCTTCAGGGAGCATCACCAAGGCTGGATGGCAGGATACATGGAGGAGGTGGGGAGTCGGATTTTAGAAGACTGGAAAGTTAGGAAAGCGCTTTCAAAGTCACAGGACTTTCTGGAGTTTATTGAGTGGGAAGGGAGGGGAACATTGTCACACCTGCACATGAGGGCTGTCATTTTGATACCTAAGTGGAGGATCAACTGGAATAGGGAGAGGCTTCCTTGAAGCAGGGAGACCAGCCAGCCGGCTATTGCAAATGTCTGGGTGATGTGTGCCAGCACTGGGGTGACAGTCAGAAAGGTGTAATTGGCAAGACGTGGGGCAGTGTATTAGATATGAGGATGGACAGAGCATGGAGGGTCAAGGGTGACATCTCGGTTGTGACCCTGAGTGACTGGGCAGATGATGGTGCGCTCCACAGCCATAGGACAGTTAGGGAGACAGGAAGACTCAGCAGAAAAGTTAACGAGTTCTGTTCTGAACGTGCTGGGTTAAAGCTGTTTATGAGACATCTAGTTTGATAAGTACAGTTAGACTTGTTGTTTGAACTGTCTAATAAGCATTTGGCAATGTAGGGCTGCAGTTCAGGAGAGAGACTGTGATTGGGTATGTAAATCTAGGTGTCATCGGTGTAGGAATAATTCAATCTAAGGAAATTGCTGAGGTTACCAAGAGAGAATGTATAGAGAAAAAAGGGAAGAAGGTCCAAGACAGAGCCTTGGGCCATGCTTGAAGTTACGGGGTAGGCAGTTAGGACAGAGATGGTGGTGAAGATGGAGGACACTGGAAGAGAATAGTCAGACAGGAGGAGAACTAAGAGAGAGCCCACCAAAAACTCAAAGAAGAGAGTGTATCCAGGAGATGCGAGTGTCAGCACTGCCCATTTCTGCACAGGAGACCACAAGCAGGAAGTATTTCAGCTTGGCCATCTGATTTGGCAGTAAGAGACCCATGGTAACTTTGGAGAGAGCGCTAGGGTGATGCAGCCGCCATTCAAGGGACTGAGAAGTGAGGGAGAGAGAGAGAGAAGGGGAAATGGGGAAAGCGTGGTAGAAACAACTTTGGCTGCGAGGCCGAGAGAGAGAATGATGACTGAAGAAGATGGTCGGGTTAAATGAGAATTTTTTTAAGGCTGAGGGACACCTGACTGCATTTGTAGGTATCAAATCATGACAGATGACAAGAGAGATTGAAGATTAGAGGAGTGTGGTGGCTAATTGTGGGGGCAGTCTGCTAGAGGAGCCGGGTATGGGGCCAAGGGTCCATGGAGAGGGGTTAGCCTTGTTGAGGTCTGTTTCTTCATCCAGACACTGGAATTAAGGAAGAGAAGGACAGAGGAGGTCAGAAGATTTTAACATGTAGGGCAGGGGAGAAGGGGGAGATCTGGGTTTCTTTTCTCACTAAAGTTGAGGCTCAGGGTCTTCTGCTGAGAGTGAGGTATAGGTTATCAGAGAATTGAGGAGAGAAGATAACGTTTGGAACAGCCTACGGTGAATGAGAGAGAATCAGTTAGGCAGGAATGAAAAAGGATTGCTTTACTGTAGGAAGGGCCCAGGTGAAATGTGATTGCATGACTTCTTCTGGCACCTTTAGCAGCACAGAAACAGGAGCAGAGGAGACAGATGGCAGGAGGAGGACCATCTTGACAAAGTGGGTCGGAGTTGTCAAGAGGTGAACAGTGATAAGATGGGGACAAAGGATTTTAAAATAGAGGCTTGAATAACATTGAACTGATCAGGATTGGGAAGGGAGGAAAGTTAACTAATGGTCTACCTACCTATCTGTCTCTATAGCTGTAGATACAGGCATAGCTAGAAATGTGCTCCTGCTTCCAGCACGGCCCTCATAGCTTTCATCTTGGGAGCCCGTGTCCATGGTACTTCTGTGGGTACTGTAGTTACAGTTACCAAAGGTCCAGAAAGCAGAGTTCTGGCCATTTTGCCTTGGCCTGTCAAAGAATCTACAGAAAAAACTCATGATTTTGTCATAGAAATGACATGAAAGAAGAGGCCTGCTTTGACACTGTACCCGAAGGGTGGTGGACCGTTTTGATCTGCCTTGTAGTCGGAACCTTCTAAATGTGACTTTGTCATTAGAATGAGCTCTTCAGGGCAATGACTGTGCTTTACACACAATGAGTGCTTAATAAATGCTTTTTCATTCATTCGTAGCTCTTTTGCTTATAGCAAAGAACCAGAAACTGAGAAAGTACCCATCAAATGGGGATTATCTGGACAAGTTATAGTATATGAATGTAATGGAATATTATTTTTCTATGAGAAATGACAAAGAGTGGTCTCTAAAAACTCTAGAAAGACTTCCATGAACTGACCTCAAAGGAGGTGATTACAAGGATTTGTACGATGACAACAGCACTTTGAAAGACTTAGGAACTCTGACCAATGCAGTGATCAGCCACAGTTCCAGAGGACAGATGAAGCAGTTATGTCCACCTCCTGATACAGAAGTGACAGACTTAAGTTGTAGAAAACATGCCTTATTGGACACGGCCAGTGTGGGAATTTGTTTTGCTGGACTACATATTTGTTTCAAGGATTTGTATTCTTTTTTCTTTTAAATTTGCAGGCAGAAATGAGAAGTGGGAGGAAG